AGTCTCCTGAGAGGTAGGGACCTCAGAAGAAAGATCTGATGATGTATTTTCCAAAAAGCCAGCTATTGAAAATCCTACGGCGGAGAGTTCTACTTTGACACATGAGGCTGCTATGAGACCAGTGATGAGTTAGTTATGGGTTAATAGGTGTCACAAACCATAATGCCTTCAGAGGCCAGTCAGTAAGCAACTGTTAGAAGTAATCAAGTGTCAACACAGGAAGTGGTGGGGTTTGTGGTAAGCCAGGGGGTGCCCTCTGTCTGAAAGGCATCCAAGTGCAAATTCAAAGTTCACCACTGGAAGGACATTATGCTGAGTGAAATTGTTGCTGTTGTTATTAAAGTGCTGTTGAGTTGGTTCTGACTCATAGCAACCCTGTCTAGTGTTACCAAAGAGTGGCTGGTGGGTTTGAACTGCCAACCTTGCGGTTCAAACTGGACCTTTTGGTACAGTGCATTATCCTACAGTGCTACGCCAGGACATCACAAAAGGACAAATATTGTATGAGACCACTGTTGTAAAAATTAAGAAATGCTTTTCTTGATAAAAGAAACATTCTATGATGGTTATGGAAGGGAGGGAGGAGAGAAAATTATTCATAGGCTAGAGAATAGACACACGTTAACATGGGTGATGGGGTAGGCAATATACAACAAGAGGGCGGTTGGCAGAGGAAAGATGGAGATTGTGGGAGACACAGGGAGGAATATAAGAAATAAGTGAATCGAGGTAAATACCGTGAACTAAAGGTACATGGAGGGGGTTGCAATCATTGCAATGAAGCAAAGTATGAGATTTGTTGAAGGTAAAATTGATGATCTGCTCTGTAAACCTTCACTCAATTCACAATGTTGTTGTTATGTGCCAAGGAGTTGGTTCCGACCCATAGCGACTCTGTACAGGGTTTCCGAGGCTGTAAATCTTTACGGGAGCAAAAAGCCTCATCTTTCTCCCTAGGAACAGCTGGTAGTTTCGAACTGCTGACCTTTGAGGTTCAAACCTGATTCGTAACCACTACAGTTTAAATAGTTTTTTGTTTTGTTTTTTAAATCAGAGTTCACTAAGTATGTTGTGCCTGTTTGACCCAGACAGTCCAGCGTTGGTGATGATCAGGTTCTGCTGGTGGACGGAAGGAGAAATCTTTCACTTTGCATGTGCATGAACCCTGAGCTCACTGTGGGCTGGATTTGTGATCAACAATAATAATAAACTACAGCAGTGTTTCCTTCTGTTGTACAGAAGCTGGCTATGAGTCAGACCAATTTGACAGCACCAAACAACAACAATAGCTATCTTTTTTTTTTTTTAATCACATTAGCCTTAATGGTGCAAAATGGTTAGATGCTTGGCTACTAATAAAAAAGTTAGTGGTTCTAATGTACCCAGAGTCACCTAAGAAGAAAGGCCTGCACATCTACTTCTGAAATTTCACAGCCATTGAAAACCTTCTAGAGTGCAGTTCTACACTGAAACGCATGGGGTGTCCACGAATTGGAGAGACTCTATAGCAACTGGTTTGGTGTGTTTATTTATCCCTGGCATGGCGCTTTCTCCGGGCTTGTTATATTTGTTACCACTCACCCTCTCACTCCTATGAAATCAGTACTATCATTCTCACCTACAATAAGGGATTCCTCCCCAGGATCACATAGCTCCCAGTGAAGCCAGGACTTCAACTCAAGAATCTGTGTCTTTCTTTAACCATCACTGAGTTCTGTCTCCTGTTCACACAGCATGATCCTAAAAGAATAGCTGCTGGGCTCATGTCTGTCTGGATGCCTTGAGGCTGAGGGACTGTGAGACAGATGGAGCTGTGTCCAGGGTACAGGATAAAGAAGGGCTTCTCTCCTTTCATATCCCTGTGGGAATCTGAAATGTGGCTGGATGCTAGAGGTGGGGGTCTCCGATTAGCAACCAATGAGAGCTGGTTTGGGAAACTAGAGCTGTGAGTTAGTAAGGGGTTCAAAGGGGTCAAATCTGAAATCCCTTCCAGGGAGGGTCAGTCAAGAAACCACTGCAAGAAGTTGTGAGCATTGCAGGGCAAGAGCCTGGGGGATCTTGGGGATCCTGCTTCTGGCTGTTGGATTCATCCCTGGTGCAAAGGGCCTGAAGTAATAAAGCCAGGAACTTCAACTCAAGAATCTGTGTCTTTAACCATCACTCAGTGCTGTATCCTGTTCACATGACCTTGAAATCAGGCAGCTGCCATTTCAATAAAATTGCACCCCGTGGTCTCTCAAGGCGCTTGCCTTCTGCATCTTTCTGCCTTATTATCTGGAGCGCGCCTCTTCCTGTTCAGGGTATTGTTTTGCGGCTGAATCACCTTAGCACCTTTAATCATCATTCCTTCTAATCTTTTAGATCACACCAGTTCTACCTTTTTATTTTAATCTTGCCTTGTGGAAAGTGTTTTATTTATACCTCACACTTTATGCTATGCTGCTTTAATCTTTTCCCACCTTTTTATTATTTTATTTTTACCCTTTTATATTTCAGCTTTGTCACACTTTTATCCTTCTACTTTTTGACATTTGGATTTTATATATCTATTTTTCTTTTACTTAGTCTCATCAGAGCTGTTCATTATTTATTTTAATTTTTGGCCATCTTGATACCTTCCCTTTTCATCTTATTCCTTACTCCCATTACCTGTTTATAATTTTCCTCTTAACCTTTTTCTTTTGTCCTCTTTTAAGCTCTCCATTTATCTTTTCTATTTTTATCCATATCAGCGTTCCTTTAATTGCTCATCAGTCTAACCTAATCTCTGCTCTTTTTATTTGTTTATGTTTATCTTTTAGATTTTTACATGATTATTATTTCTTTTTCCTGTCCTCTTGACATATTTGGACTTACTGGTTTGAGCAGTCTGTCTTACCTGTTTTTTGTAGTTAATAAAAAGTTGATCAATGAAGGAAGGCAGGATTTGTGACTGTCAGGGAGATACAAGGAGGTCCTTGCCCCAGGTTTGGGTGGGGGCGGTCAGGCATTTCCCAGTCCATTGCTCTGCCCCCTCCACCACATCTCCATAGCCACCATTAGATCTTCACTGCCTTTAATATGATTCCTCTCAATAATCATTCCCTGGGACTGCGATCCATAGACTAAGATTCCTCCCGAGAAACCAATGGCATCTCCAGTGTCTGCTGCTCACTGGATCCCTGGAAGAGCGACCCCCTGCTTCAGTCCCTTCCTGTTCCACGGTGTCACCCCAGTCTCTGAGCGCAGACCACTCACTACCATTGAGTTGATCACATGACTCTATAGGACAGAGTAGAGGTACTCCAGAGGGTTCCTGAGGCTGTGAAACTTTATGGGAGCAGAAAGACAAAGCAGCTGAGAGGTTTTAACAACCCAATGCTTAACCCACTGTGCCATCAGGGCTCATTCCTCTGAGCACATATAAGGGGAATTACATCCACTCGGGCCTAGTCACACTGCCTCTGAGGATCATGGAGGGACCCAGCTCAGGTCACTTAGTCACACACACAGGCCCCATTCAGGGGCAGCTGTACTTGGTTCAAGCATGCCAAACTGAGTTGAGCTCCCTTCTGGTAGAGGAGCAACCTTACCATGTGGCCTTACAACCATATTGCTTTTGTCTTATTAAAGGAAAAGCTGGCTAGGGTCCACAGTGCTGTGTTTGGGCTGCTTCCCCAGATGATGATCCAGACCAGGCTCCTAAAGCAGGGCACTGTCTCTGAGAGGGTTTGTCCTGAGCTTCTGGACACCCCTGAGGCCTTCCAGGGAGTCCCTGGGTAGCAAAGATGGTTAATGCACTTGAGAGTCTCGGTAGTGTAGTGGGTTACAAGTTGGGCTGCAAACCTCAAGCTCAGCAGTTCAAATCTACCAGCCACTTGAGAGAAAGATGAGGTTTTCTGCCCCTGTAAAGATTTTGTATTGTTGTTAAGTGCCATCGAGACAGTTCTGACTCATAGCGACCCTGTATAGGGTTTCTAAGGAGCTGACTGGTGATTTTGAACTGCCCACCTTGTGCTTCAAATTGACCTTGGGGTCGAGTGCTTATCCTATGGTACCAAACCAGGACAGCCCCGGAAATGCTGTACAGGGTCACTATGAGTTGGAGGTGACTCGACAGCACACCACCACCGCCACCACCACCACCACCACCACCACCACTAACAAAAAGGTTGGAGATTTGAGTTTGCATGAAGGAGCCTTGGCAAAAGGCCTGCCAATCTACTTCCCCAAACGCTATGGAGCACAATTCAACTGGGACACACATGGGGTCACCATGAGTCAGAACTGACTTAATGGCAACTAGTTAGGCCTTCCAGGAGGACTGGGCATGAGGAATCAGTGCAGTATTGGTCAGTAAAAGTTGGCCAGTGGCCTGGACACATCCCTCTGCCCAGTCCCTGGGAGACCCCCAGAGTCTTTTCTTGGGTTACAATGGATCAGGAGAAGGAGGCACCATTCAGTGATGGGAGTGTGAGTGATTGGGGGAAATCAGTTCTATTCAGGGAGTGTGGCATGACCCTGGCACTTGGGTGGGTCCCTGTAAGGTGTGAAATATATACAGGCTCCCCCCACCCACTTAGCTCTCCACCAGAACACCCAGCACAGATGGAGTGACATTTCCTTGGGACAGGCAGACCCTGACTTCTATTGTGGTTCCTTCTCAGACATCAGTGGTCCAGGGAGTGGATGGGAGTGAGGTGTAAAGCCACAGAAAGGGCCTTTGCAGAAGGGCTGGACACACAGGTCTTGGCAGGCAAGAGAACCAGCTCGTGTAGCTATAGGAAGAGCTGACTTCACACTCACTTTCTGGGGTCTTGGTTCCAACTGCTCCCTAAGAGTTTTCTGAGAAACCCTGAATGCTCCCACATTCTTGTAGCTGCAACTCCCCCATCTTCAGACACCCAGTGCTCTCATGAGAGGAACCAGTCTGTGATGGACAGGGTGGTGGAGAGGTCTCGTAGCCCAGGGGCAGCCCACCTCCAGTCAACTGTTGCCCTGCAGGGACTATCGGCTCTTACCAGCACTGTGGTGACGATGAGCGACCGGTTTGTCAGAGAGTCGGTGACATTGGGACCTCGGCCCTTGGCGACTTCCGTGATGTTGAGTCCATCGGCAGGACTCCACACCCCAACCTGGATGGACAGGCAGACAGAAACAGAGTCCTGCATTCCCAGTCTATGTATCTTGTTTCCATACCAACAGTGCCATCATCTTGTTCCTATTTACCATGACCATGACCATCACTGCTAGCATGTTTAAGAACAACCCTGCAACCTCCTTCTTCCCAGAGGAGGTCCCCAAGGTGTCCAGTCTCATGACTCCTTCCACCTTCCCTTGCTGGGAAACCCATCACTGCTGAAAGGGAAAACCCAGAGGGAAATGATAAATATGGAGGCAACCCCAGGGAAACCAACGGAAGCCAGCCAGGGGCTGCCAGTCTGGGCTGAGTAGAATCCAAGCACAGACTGGGTGTATCAGGGCTTCAGGGTTAGAGAGTGAGGTCTGAACCTGGATCTCTTGGGTGACTCCCTGGGTACCCAGATGCTCCCTCACTGGATCTCAACTCCAGTGTCAGCCTGCGGGAGTAGACGCCCTCCAAAGCCCAGGACAGGGACTGGAACAACAGAGATGTTGGGAGAATATGTCTTCCCTGTTTGTCTGGTCGTTGCAGCCAAACAAGGAAGGGATGACCCTCACTGGGGACTCTGGATGCCACCGGGTTAGAAGGCAATTTGATTTGTTGTTTTAGTTCTAAAGTTGGCAAATGCCTGGGCCGAGGCAGCATCAATTCCCCCCGCCCCCGTGTCCTTGTTGACAATGGGCCTGAGGCTGGGGAGTCAAGTTTGCAAATTGTCCTAAAGTCCTGGGCCTCTTGAAGATCCATTCTGCTTAATTCTCAGCTTCTCTCTCTCAAGGAAGGTCTTGGCGTGCCCACTCTGTCCTTGGTCCAGTTTGGGAGGGAGGGGGGTACTAGGGAAACTTAATCAATTAAACAGAGAGGCCAAGTGCAAATATCTCATTAAGAGAGCTGAGCAAAGCAGATAGCAAAGAGACATGTAATTATGCTTGGGTAATTCTGCCTTAATCCTCCCAAAGCCACCGGCTGGAGCTGGCTGGATCAGCTATGACCCAGCTCAGCAAACAGAAGTAACGATACGGGAGGCAGAGTGGCTGTTTTGGGAGCTCAACATCCTCTCGGGCAGGATCTCCACGTCTGCAGATGATCCACAGCCAAGAAAGAGAAAAGGAGACCAGCAGAACCAAAAAGGTTCTGCTCTCAGATGGGCTGAGTTGAGCCAAGTCTGTCCAGGATGAGGGTGTCTAGCAGCGACTGGGAGCAGGAGATGTTCAGTAACCATTTGTCCAAAGCAGGAACCCTTGCTCCAGCAAACATCTACTGAGCTCCAGTGGCATGCTCTGCCAGGCAACAGGTGCCACGGCAATGTGAGACCAGTTAGAACTGACAAGGATTCAGCCGCAAGACCGGTCTTCAGACGCTCCATTCACCACCCAAGTGGCTGCCATCAGGTGCCTCTGGTGAGTGTCTCAGGGATACTAGGAGAGTTTGTCTTGAATATTAACTATGGTCTATTTGTTCCAGTTGCTTGAAGGACTGTTGGAAGAAGGATTCTCATGTTGCAGATGGGCCCAGATGGAATGAGCGCTCTCCTATTCATTAGAGGCAGTCCTGGTGTTACCAACGTGGGACTTACACGCACGGAAAACTCATCCTTGACCTTTATGTAAATTTGCCCTCACTTTGAAATGACTGAACCGAAATTCCAAACCCATTGCCATCAAATTGATTCTGGTTCATAGCAACCCTATAAGGCAGAGTAGATCTGTCCCATAGAGTTTCCATGGCTGTAAATCTTGATGGAAACAGACACCCTCATCCTTTTTCTAAGGAACAACCAGTGGGTTTGAACTGCTGACTTTTCTATGAGTAGTCCAATACTTAACCCACCACACCACCAAAGCCCCTTGAATTAACTCCTGCTCACAGCAAATTCTTCACCACAATCATCACACTTGTGGCTTTTACATTATTGAAAACGCTTTGAGCATTTTCTTTGCATTAAAGTAAGGCTAAATAAGAACCGATTCTGACTTATCTACAAACTCCATTTCTAGCTTTAAAGCCACACCTAAAAAGGAATCTCACTGGTAACCTGGGGCCTGCCTTATTGAAGCCTGCCATGGGCGTGGAAGTGGAAAGTAGTGGTATGAATGCCATCTAAATTGCCATCCCATCCGTAGAATTTGAAGCCTTTTCCCAGAGATGGGTAGCTGAGAGAGCAAAAATGAGACACCTACTTGAATAAATGTGGGCTACGCGTTGGGCTGCTAACCACAAGGTTGGTGGTTCAAATCCACTGGCCCCACCATTGGAGAAAGATGAGACTCTTTGCTCCCCAAAAGATTTACATACAGTCTAAGAAACTGTATTCGACTCGATGGGTGCATAGGTTAGAGGACGTGAGTTCTCAATCTTGGGAGGAATTTAAGTACAAGCTACAAGGTGACTTGATGAGAACTTACATAGTTTGTATTGGGTTGGACCAGTTGGTCTCAGTGATCTTATGAGGCCACAACCCTGTCCTTAGCCCACACAGTATGAACATGGCATGAGATCACTACAAATGGATAGTAAGGTTCCCCTGGACACCCTCTCTCCTGCACAGTGGCCCCATGTAGTAGGTGGGAAACTCCAGGGAGAGTGGAGTACCCCAAGGTACACTGAGTAAATCCTCAGTTGGGGGAGTGAAGAAAGGAGACAGAAGTCACATTCTGCAGCCAGGTGAACAGTCCAGGCAAAGACGAGAGGTGCAGAGGATGGGGCACTTGGCTGGGTTGTGGAGTATATTTCAGGGAAGGGTTAGATCTGGAGAGGCAGGTTAAGACATTTCTTGGAGAACCTGAAAGTTGAGGTGAGGGGCTGAAACTTAATGGCTTAGCACTGGGGAGCCACAGAAAGTTTTCAGGGCAGCAGAAAGCAATGGAAAGCTTCATCTATGTGTGTATTTGGGATGGCTGGAATGTCCAAGAGCAGAAGTGGGAAAACCAGATGAGGTTGTTAAAATAGTCCAGTGAGAGGCTGAGCCAAGACAGTGGGTCGGCATACAATGTATACAATGTAGGGAGGTTTCCGTCCCTACATTTTATATACCACTTCCCTAGGACCTGCCTGGGGTGGCAGCAGGGATGTGGCTGAGCCCCTTGCTCTGAGGTCCCAGGGGATACTGAACCCAGTAGACTGACAGACTACGCAGAGGGCTCCCAGAAGTCAGAACTGACTTTACTACAGACATTTTCTACATTAGCAGCAGGGAGGTTCCCGTTCAGGCGTGGGATCTATTTGGTCTCTATCAAACCCACAAGACTACTGAGGCCTTAGAAGCCTGAAGACGGGGCACTTCAGCCTCTCCAATCTCCCCAACAAGCAATCACTCTATCTTTGCTTAAATACCTCCAGTGCCAGGGAGCTCACTACTCAGGCAGGTATTACCTGATTGTTAAAATGTTTCTTTTACTCAAGGTGTCCCTTTGCCCCTTGACAGCCTTGCAAGGATGTAACGACAGAGTCTGTCTACCCCATGAGACTTAAATTGCTTTCCTCAGGTTAAGTTTCCCAATAGCCCTTGCTCACAGGATGGCAGATTTGTGTCTGCTGTGGCCTGGCCATGGTGCACCCCTCCAGTCTGACCAGGACTGAGTGTTGTTTGATGGACCCACACATCCTCCAGGCACAAGTTATGTGGAGTCCTGACCTGAAGGAGCAGCTGAATTGGGTCCTACCTCTCCCTCTGGGCCTGTGTCTGGGGCCCAAGGTAGGGAGTACAGGGTGTCCTTGCCCCTCTGCCCAGTCTTCCCATGCCCACTCACCTTCTCCAAGCCATCCTCCTTCAGGCTGACAATGTCCAGATCGAAATCCGTCCGTAAGCCACTGGTTTTGTTGAAAACAATCCGTCCCGTTAATCCTTCCCATTGAGCCTGCAGGAGGGGAGAGGGCAGTGCAGCAATTCCTTGGGCTCATAAATCATCATTCGGTACAACTGTACAATGCTCCATTTTAATTACTCCTCGCACTGATACTTTTCCCCCAAGACCATGATTAATTAATAATCACCTCCATCATTGCTCGGGCTGCGGTGCAAGCCAGCGATTTCCATAAATTCTATTATGCTCTTTAGCCAGCTCTACACTTGCACCTTCTCGTGTACAACATCGATTTTGGATGCGCCCAAATGAGGCCCCCGCCTCAAAGCAAGGGAAGGGAGAGCCTATGTCAGATGGCTGGGGAGGGGCAGGGCTGGGTTGGCAAGTCCTGCCAAGAGGCTAAGTCAGACACTTAGAGCAGCCCCCAGAGAAGCAGCGGGGACAGTCGCCCCAGCACCCCCAGCTCTGGATCCCCCCACATGCTGTTGTTAAGAACTCTGGGCTCAGATTGCTGGGTTCAACCACATGAGCTATGTGACCTTGAATATTTCATTCCACCTCTCTGCCTCAGTTTCTTCATCTATAAAATGAAACTTAGTATCTAGCTTACCAAAAGCAGCCCTGGGAGCACAACAGTTAAGTGTTTGGCTGCTAACTGAAAAGTTGTTGGTTGGATCCCACCCATCAGCTCTGTGGGGAGAAAGACCATAAAGATGGCTGCTGTTTTTGTGGAGTGAATTCCAGTCGGTTCTGACTCATAGCGGCCCTATAAAGGGTTTCCTGGAGTCCTGGTGTGGCATGTGTAGGGTGTAGGGTGTGGCACTGGACCGCAAGGTCAGTTTGAACCAGAAGGTCGATAGTTCAAATTCACCAGTCATTTGTCAGAAATGACTAGATAGCACTTAACAGCAACAATAGGGTTTCTGAGGAGGAGCTGGTGGGTTTGAACTGCTGCCTTTAGGTTAGCAGTCTAGTGTTTAGCCTATAAGGCCAACTTAGAAAACCCTATGGGGCAGTTCTATGCTGTCACGTGGGTCACTATGTGTCAGAATTAATTCAAAGGCAACTAACAGCAATAGCTTACTAAAAAGCGATTAAAAGAGTTATAAGGGATGTTATACAAAATGTTCAGAACAATGCTTGACACAAGTGTTGAATAAATGTTGGCTAGCTGTTATTTTTTTATTGTTCAGAGAAGGTATAGGACCCAAACTAAGAAAAGCTCAAAATCACAAATAGCATTGCTCTCTGTTTTTGTAAATAAGAGGAAGCTTCAAAAAGTTCATGGGGAAAAAAAATCCATGATCTGTTGACTCCATTTTTCCACAAACTTTTGAAGCCCCCTCGTAAAGTTAATCAGAACACAGCCCTGCCTATGTTCACATGCCACCTCTGGCGTTGTCCCGAGAGGGCAGTTGGGTTGAATAGTCTCCACAGGCCCACAAAGTCTAAAATATTTACTATCTGCCCTTCTACAGAAAAAGTTGGCCAACTTCTATTCTAGAAGATTTATTTCCTGTGGATCCAGGGCTCAAACTCTAAAAGGTACTTTCACCTTCCCCATCTCACGCAAACTTCATAGTAGCCCTGGGGTGAGGGGTGGAGGAGTAGGCATGGATCATGATTCCCACTTTATAGACAAGGAAGTGGGCACCCAAGCCCACAGAGGGAATAAAAGGCAGATCCAAGTTAGAACTCCAGCTCCTCTTATTCCCTACAGAATGAGGGCTTGATGCCCATATATAATTAAATGCTCAGTCGTTGAGGGCTTTCTGCATCCAGGAGAAGAACAAAGCCCTCGAATTCTGGAGTCCTTGGGGATAATGGTAGGTTTGGGAACAAGAGGAGGAGAAAACATCTGGGAGCTCACCCAGCAGCTGGATCCTTGGGCCAGAGAGAGGGCTGGGGAGAGGGTGCCTAAAAGAGGCTGTGGGACAGCAGACAATCTGAGTGTTAATAAACTGGGTGGGCTGCATTTGGTTCCTAACCTCAAGAGAGCTCCGGGATCCCTCCCAGGCTGACTGTGCCCCTGTACCCGAGCACACACTCACACAGTGAGACACAAGACCCATGGGTGCACAGATCTCTACATCCCAAAACAAAGCCTTTGGGAATCTTCAAGAATCTGGTGCTTCTAAAACCCTGGGAAGTCTGCTGGATTAATAGTGGGGAGGGAGTGGGAGATGAACCCAGACAGAAGGCAGCCATCTTGTAGGGGAATGGGGACTGTGGACAAGTCATCTCACCTCTGAGCTTCTGTTGGGGACAATGGCTAACTTCACAGGTATTTTATAAAGGTCTCTAAAGTATTTGGGAGTTCTGGTGTGGTGCTGTGGGTCAATGTGCCAGAATGCAAAGATGTTTGAACTGCAAGGTTGGCAGTTCGAGCTCACCAGCAGCATCTTGGAAACCCCATACATAGTCACTGTGGGTCGGAACCGACTCAACAGCACTTCACAACAACAACAACAACAACAACAACAACAAAGTATTTAGTGTGGAACTATAGGATTAGCTGTTCAAACCCACTCCTTGGAAATCTATTCAGGATTGTTATGAGTCAGAACTGACTCCATGGCACTTGAACAACAACAAAAGTACTCAAAGGAGCACTTGGGGATACAAAGGTTAAGTGTTTGACTGGTAAACAAAAGGTTAGTGGTTCAAACTCAGTAGCTCAGAGGGAAAAAGACCTGGTAATCTGCTCCTATAAAGATTGTTGTTGTTGTTGTTAAGTGCCGCCGAGTGAGTTCCGACCCATACGACCCTGTACAGGGTTTCCGAGGGTGTAAATCTTTACAGGAGTAGAAAGCCTCCTCTTTCTCCCGCGGAGCAGCTGGTAGTTTCGAACCGCTGACCTTAAGGTTCGCAGCCTGATTTGTAACCACTACACTACCAGAACCTATAAAGATTACAAGCTACAAAACCTTCTGGGGGCAGTTTTACGCTGGCACATGGGGTCACTATGAGAGAAAAATGGACTCAATGGCATCTAACAACAACAAAGTGCCTGTCATATATATGTAGTTAATCATTGCAGGGGTCCATAGACAACTGTTTCTTCTTTATAGTCTCACTGCAGAGCTCTTGCTTGGCCCTTGGCTCAAGTTTTATCCTTGTGAGCCTAGCTGACCAGCTTGGTCTTGCTTGGAACTGGGATTACAGCTCAGGAACAAAACTATATCCCTGTTATTAATAAAATTGTGTCCACCCCTCAAAATGTGTTGAAAATCTGAATCTCGATACTTGTGGCTGGAAAATCTTTCAGGAATAAACAGGGTGTATATCTGAGAAACTGCATCAGGATTGGAGGAAGACTCATTAACAACCTGCGATATGTAGATGACACCACTGTGCTCGCTGAAAGTGAAGAAGACTTGAAGCCCTTACTGATGAAGATCAAAGACTACAGTTTTCAGTATGAAGATCAAAGACTGCAGTTTATACCTCAACATAAAGAAACAAAAATCCTCTCAACGGGTTCAATAAACAATCGCACGATAGACAACAAAAAGATGGCATTTGTCAAGGATTTCATTTTACTGGGATCCAAAATCAATATCCATGGAAGTAGCAGCCAAAAAATCAAATGATCTACTGCACTGGGCAAGGCTGCTGCAGAAGAGCTCTTTTAGGTGTTAGAAAGCAAAGAAGTTCCTTTGAGGACTAAAGTGCACTTTACCCAAGCCGTGGTATTTTCAATCATCTCACGTGCATGTGAAAGTTGGACAATAAGGACGTTGGACTATAAGGAGAACCGAGGAAGAGTTGATGCATCTGAATTACAGTGCTGCCAGAAGAATGAACAAATCTGTCCAGGAGGCAGTACAACCAGAATGCTCCTAGACTTTTTCTCACATTCTTTGGACATGTTCTCAGGAGGGACCAGGAAGATGTGTCAGTCTGTCTCTGTAAGGATTTCCGCCTAGGAAACCTTACTCTGTCCTATACTGTCCCTATGTGTTGGCATGGACTCATAGGTGCCACAATTTATGAGAACATATATCTATCTGTTTGTTGAAGCCACCCACTTGTGAGTTTCTATTATAACACTACTAAGAAGCTAAAATGATCCCAAAGCCCAGGAATGGAGCTGAAGCTGTACCTCTGTAGTGGGGTCCTCCTCTGGCCCAGGAAGCAGTGAACTATCCTTTTGGGTGGACATTTCGCAGGCTCTATTGAGGGATGGAGGAGTGGCTGAGGACAGAGGCACACTTGGGCCAATACCGAGGCCTAAGGAGAAGTCCTAATCTCCTTTCCTGCATAAACTCATTCAGTTCTCATTACAATCCTACCAGCTGGGTCTCCTCAGTGCTCCATTTTACAGACGTGAACACTGAGGAGGAGTCCTGGTGGCATAGTATCTAAAGCTTCCAGCTACTAATTAAAAGATTGGCAGTTTCAACCCACCCACTGCTCTTCTGGAGAACGATGTGTCAATCTGCTTCCTTGAAAACATATAGACTTGGAAACCCTCTGAGGCAGTTCTATTCTGTCTGATTGAGTTACTTTGAGTGGGAAATGAGTCACCAGCAGTGGGCCTCAGACACTGAGGCTAAAGGAGGGTCCCAGTGGTAGCACAGTCAGGTAGAGGCTGCAGTTCAGAGCTGGAGGGCTTGGGGTCATGGTTCCCCACGTGGAGTGGTGGAGTCGGGGGAGCTTACATAGAGCCCAGGGAGTTGTGGCTCAGGGGGGCTGGGGATAGTGGTTTAAAGGGGCATCAGAGAAGGTGAAAAGCACTATTTATGACTTCACAGAAAGCCTCAGCTTCCCTCAGGCTCTGGGTGCCTCTGCCTTCCCCCTCCTGCTGGCCCCACATCCCCGGGCTATCTCCTAGCCCCCAGGGGAAATCACAGCAGGTGCCTTCAAACCTGCACTGGAGTAGAGCTCCTCTCCTTGTCAGCTACAGAGGAATTAAATGCCAGCAGGTGCACGGCCTGTCTGTGGGCGGGTGGGCAGGGGCAGGGCAGGGAGCCACTAGCAGCTCCTCCCCTTGACATTTCCCGGCCGCCCGCCCCCTCCAGCCGCTGTGCAGGACTTGTTTAAATGAAAGA